TAAATAAAATACAAAATCGGGCTGGGGTATGGCTCAGTGGTGCCCCTGAGTTCAATCCCCAGTACCAAAAGGCTAGAATTCTAGCTCCCTAACTGAAACCTCAAATAAATATTTTTTTGGAGACAGAGGCAAGGTTTTACTCTGTTCACCACATTGGTTTTGAACTCCTAGGTTCCAGCAATCCTCCCACCTCAATATGAGTATCTGGGACTAAGGGTATGTGCTACCACATTTACCACATTTTAGCAGGTACATTCTCATTTCTTGCTACCTCTGGGTTCCAACCTTTGCTTCAGGATTGATGGTGTTCAGTTAAGTGCTCATAAGACTTTGTTGACATYTGGAATGTAAAAATCAGTATTTCTCTGTACTTTATCAATGGCAAGTGAAAACTGGAACCTCACAAAGATAATTTAGCAAAGTGCAAAACAACGTCCATTCAAGATCTGGTRTAATTCACTCTTGATAACTTGGCATTTTGTCTTTTTGATTTGCTCGTTGAACAACAATGCTGTCTCTGGTTSTCTCTTTGGCTGCTTAAGACATGTCTGTTGAGGCTTGGGGTAAAAAGCAGTCCTTCAATATCACCTCCCTACAACTGCACTGGCTATCAAACACAAATGCAAAACAAGCTTATGTGAGGGCTGGGGTTGTGGCTCAGTGGTAGAGCACTTTCTGGCATGGATGAGGTACTGGTCAATCCCCAGCATCAGATAAAAATAAAACAAAATAAAGGCATTGTGTCCATCTACAACAAACAAACACCAAGCTTATATGGACCACCTAACTCAAAACCAGGATTTCAGATCTTAACTATTCATTGCAAGCCTGCTATTCCTTTTACCTGTGATCCAATCGATTTAGAGCAGAGATGTATTATTATTCAATCTAAGGTGTTTTTGAGCTAAGGTATAGGATAGCTTACATAAGGACCAATACATGACTGGCTTTCCAGTAGGTGACAAACTTCTATCATGCCTAGCACTGTACCACCAAGAGATGTTTGTTGGTATGAATATAACTCAAATAACAACTCAGATGACCATTGAAGAATATGTGGTCAACTATGCTGCTAAATTTCAGAGAATAACTAGAAGTCTGCTCATGCATAAAATGGGCACACAAACCCAACAACAGGTTTTAAAAACTACTTTTAAGAAACTCAGCCAAGGCCAGGCATGGTGGTGTATGCCTGTAATCCCAGCAATCATGAGGCTGAGGGAGGAAGATCCAAAGTTCCAGGCCAGCCTAGACAACTCATTGAGGCCCCAAGCCAACTTAACAAAACCCCATTTCAAAATAAAAAATGGCTCAATGGTTGAGCACCTCTGGGTTCAACCCCAGTACCACCCTACCCCCAAAAGAAACTAAGCAAAACTTCCTATGGACTTTTACATCACTATGAAGCCAAGTGAACAATTCCAAGGTCAGACACAGCAGATATAGATGTAGTAAAGGACTTTCCAGTAGGAAGCTTACAAGATGCATGGCACTTTCTAGASTGGCTCATTTCAGCTTTAGGAGCACAGGTGGGCAAATAGCTGCCATTTTCACATGGCTGCTGGTATTGGAAATTAAACGCATCTTAATAAAATTCATTTTGATCACTTTCTAATTTGGGTTGTTCAAGTCTCCTCCAACTGTCAAAGTTTGACATGCATTCATCTTGAACACCTCACTGTCACCAAAGAGCTAGCATATCTAACAAAGACATATTTTAAATAAATAAATCTCTAGGCTCAGTATAATATGACCAGCTAATGTGGTCCCAATTCATCTAAAACTTCCTTGGACCTGCCTTAAATTGAACTACTCTTTTTTCTTGGAACTTCTGGATGTCTTTTGAAACTAGAAAAAAGACCTCGCTATTAAAATTTCAAGACGACCAAAGTCCAAATTTAATGTCTAGAAAACTACCCCAAAGGCGCTAATTTTACACATCATCCAACATTTATTTCATTTTTATTAGCAAATAAAATATTCTTTGAAATGCAGGTGGCTCCACACCTATCCCAGCTTCCATGCTTGAGTGTCACCAAACTGGGTTCACTCCTGCACCCAAACAAGCCTTTGTTTGAGCCATTCCCAAACCAAGGTATTAAAAGTGATCATTCTTCACCAAACAAAGATACTTTCTGGACAGCAACCTGGGAGACCAGACACCTCAGTAGGTACTATTGTGGTGCTATTCTGGGAAAGTAATCCTTTCTGTAAAAGGACACAAAGACCAAGTGTGTCCTTGACCAACAGCAAGGTGTTTACAGCCTATCTTCTAAATTCTGTATGCGGCAATTTGAAATTAAAAAAAAAAAAAAAACAGGRTGATTTCCTTGAATTAAACACCATGAGCTTTCTATTCACCAAACATTTTCCTTTCAACGACGGCGCCTCAATTAAATGTAGCCTTCTGCATTGGACCAGAATCGTAACGAGGCTACAAGCGACTCCGTCTCCAGGTCAGAAAGAGAAAACTAGGGAGAAATAAAAAAATTTCCACCAGCAAGCACGTGGCAGCTGTCAATACGGCGCTCCGGTCCGAAAACCGCCGACACAGACACCGCTGTGATGCACTTGTTTTCGTTGGTCTCCCTCCTCCGGCCKCCCGCCGCGAAGCGACCCCCGTGCTGCCCCCGGGGGCATCGCCCCTCTCGCGGCCTCCGACCTCCCCGGGCCTGCCGGCCTCCTCTGCAAGGGCCGGGGCCCCGCCTGCGGGCGGAACGAGCCCGGGAGGGCGGCCGAACCGGGCAGGCCGCGGCCCGTACCCGCGCTGCAGCCGAGCCCCGCGCCCGCCCTCCGGCGGGGGATGGGGCTGCGAGCGGTACTCGGGCCCGGGCTCAGCGTCGCCGCGGCCGGCAGTGCGGCCTGAGCACCGCCCGCACCAGCGCCGGGGCAGCAGGAGGGCGCTGCCCCGCGAGCAAGACCCCGGCGCCAACCGCCGCGCCCCGGCCCCGAGCGCGCCATTTCCAGGCCCCGGCCCTCCGGGCGCTGCTCCAGGCCTCCGCGGGCCCGCTCGGCCGCGGGCCTCCCGCCGGCCCAGGCGAGCGCAGCGAGACCACTGCCCCGGGACCCCCGACGCGGCCCGGCCCCCGCGCCCGGCAACACCAGCGCACGCCCGCCTCACCCTCTGCCGCCGCCGAAGCTGCTGTAGGCCCGATCGTCGTAGGTATCGAAGTCCGCCATTTGCCGTCTCCGCTCCGAGAGGAACCAGGGTGAGCGAGGAAGGACCCCGCAATATAACTCCCCCCGCCCCGCCGCCGGGGCTGTCTGCTGCACCGCCTGATCGCAAATAGCACGCACGCACGCGCGCGCGCGCGCACGTACGCCGCGCCGCGCCCGGCCTGGGCCGACGGGCCGCTGCTGACCCAGCGCGCTCTACGGCCCACGTGGTGCGGCGACGCGGGGGCCGCGCGCCCGGACGGCCGCTGCCGCCCATTGTGTGCTGGCCCCACCGCTGCACGCGCGGGCGCCTCCTGCCCCCGCCACGCCCGCCCGCGCGCCCGCGCGCGGCGACACAACCCCGCCCGGCCGGGCCCCCTCCGACGCGCGGCGCTTTCTACTGCGGCTCGGCGTCGGTACCCCGGGCCCGGCGGGGACCCCGAGCCCTGCTCCTCCGCGCCCCACACTCGGGCACACCTCTTCCGGCCAAGTGGTCGCCGGGTAACTCCCAAGTAGAGGCCACCTCCTCTAGGCGGAGACCCTCGGAGCTGGTCCCACGCTATGGGTGCCCTGGGGCGGAGGGCCTGGAAGGTGGTGCGAGGCCACGGGCTGCGCCAGCCACAGGTTCTGCCCTCCGGGCTCTACTCGCTGCCCCGGTGTGGGACGGGGGTTTGGCTGAGAGCGCAGGTTGTGGTTAACTAGCGAGGGAGTCGGTGCATCTCGTTTTTGCAGAAGTCACCGCGCTGGAGCACAATGGAATGCAGATGTGCATCCTCCAGCTGTAGCGAGAGAGGGGGTACGTGGTGAGAACCGACAGCCTTTCTGCCTGTGAGTGAGATGGTGGTAACATGCGGTACTGCTGCCCCAGCTTTGGCCGACCCTGATGTGTCCTGAGCACAGCCTAACAGAGCCTTCATTGCAAGCGCACGGGGCCTGTGGCACGCGCGAGCAATCCCAGCAACTCTGGAGGCAGATGCAGACCCTTCTGCAAGTCAGAGGCCAGCCTGGGCGACCCAGCAAGGACCTGTCCCCAAACAAAAAAGTAAAGACTGGAGATGAAGATGGGTGATAAAGCGCCCCTGGGTTCAATCCCCAAAGTGTGTGTGTGTGTGTGTGTGTATCCACAGAATTTTTCTTCTATTTTATGTGGTGTTGAGGACCAAACCCAGTGCCTCACATGTGCTTGGCATGTGCTCGACTGCTGAGCCACAACCCCAGACCCTACTTTTTTTKGGGGGGTGCTGGGATTGAACCCAGGGCCTTATGCATTTAAGTATCTTTTTAAAAACTCC